GATTTTGTTTAAATTTACTTTTCAAATGCGTATTATGCATATGCTGCAAAATTCAGCAGACAAAAGAGGATACTCCCTTAAAAAGAAGCCCTTGGATTCCACTTTTTGCTACCAAGTTTCCCCTCCTGAGGTAACCCTGTCAGCACTTTTTTATGTATGGGAGGTGGTTTGGTGCTTAGGAGCTATTCCTGGCTCTGTGCTCAGGGATCACACCTGGCAGTGCTTGGGGGACCTATGCAGTACTGGAGATCAAACTGGATCTGTCACATGCAAAACAAGTATCTTACCAGCTGTACTATCTCTCTAGTCCTGTCAGCGTTTCTGTGCCTCTTAGCCCTCACAGGCCGTTCTGTACATTTGAAAGTATGAGCACCTCCCTCCCCCACCCCATTTCTGAAAAGCATCCAGGCTCCCCACTGTCCTCCCCTTGGTTCTTCGCAAATAACACTAGCTCTTAGTGAGCCACTGTCATTGCATAATGTTTGACCTTATTCTTCCAAGCCACATGTGACGTTGACTGTCATGTAGAACATCATCTTACCACTTGTCTCAAACGCTGGGCTGGTTTCTATGTCTCCTTTGTCTCACCCTCAGGGATTGTGTCCCTGCCTTTCAGGGATTGTGTACCCACCAAGTCTGCCTTGTGGAATAGGCATGGGACACTCGATCCCTCCTACCAGCCAGAGCTCATGCGCTTTCCTTTTTTTTTTTTTAAGATAAACAGAATTTTTTCATTGAATCACCATTTGTACAAAATTATAAAGTTATGCATGATTGGTTTTCAGGTGTACCATGTTCCAGCACCAGTCCCTAAGCACTGCTGGGTTGGACACCCCAACCCCCCTCAATTTACTTAACATCAGATTCATCACTGTAATTATGGAGAGTATCCAATTCCATGGTTTTTACTCGATTGACAGTGATATGTGTCATCATCACTATTTCGGACAGAATATATTCATCACCTCAGCAACCACTGAACTACCCTTTCTCTATAGAATCTAGATCATAGAATCCGGATCATTACAGTGTGTGACTTTTGAGCCTGGCTTTTCTTTTTCTTTTTTGGAGGGTAAGGGGATGAGAGGAGAGCAGGGGAGTTTTCACAGCCATATCTGGTAGTAAATAGGGGCTACTTCTGGCTCTATGCTCAGGGATCTCTCCTGGCAGAGCTCAGGGGACTCTGTGCTGGGACTTGAACCTGCATTAGCCACATGTAAGGCACATACCTTATCCCCTCCCTGTACCAGCTCTCGTCCCAAGTTTGGCTTCTTTCATACAATACGTCTTCAAGGTTCCTCCCTATAGTTGGAGCGATGATTAGTACTTCACTCCTTTTACAGCTGAGTACTATTCCATGTGTGGGTGTGCTGACCAATAAAGATCCATTCATAAACTGATGAGCATTTGGTTTGTTTCATTGTATAAACATTTTTATGAGAAAAAAAATTTAGGGACCTGAGCGATCTCACAAGGGGTTAAGTCACTTGCCTTCCATATAACTGAGTCTTGGCATCACATATAATTCCCCAAGCACCACCAAGAATGATGACCCATACATAAGTAAGAGTCAGGAGTAAGCCTTGAGCACCATCATGTGTGGCCCCAAAACAAACACAATGTTTTTAATGTATCAAAAAATATATATGAAGGAGTATTTGTGTGTATTTTAAAAGGAAGTGGTGGGGTGGAGACATGATTGCAGCAGACCTACCATCTCTTTTTGTTTTGGACTTTTGGGCCACATCCAGTGATACTCAGGGGTTACTCCTTGCTCTGCACCCAGGATTTATTCTTGGCGCAGGGGACCATATGGGAAGCCAGAGACTGAACCCTGGTTGATCACATGCAAGGCAAGCACCCTACCTACTCGGCTATCTCTCCAGCCCTTAGGTCTCTGTGTCTTGCAAACATGAGGCCAGTGAAACCTCAAATTCAGTCCTGGGTATGCTCAAGAGGAATTCCAGTGGCTCTGCTGTTTGGGATGCCCTATGCCACGACAGTGTCTCTGATCCTTGGTGTACTGCCACCAGGTGTGTGTGACCTCCCCAGTGACTCTGCAATCCTGGGTGAGCCCCACAACAGTGTGTGAGCACCATCAGCAAGGGTGTGACCCCTAGGGAAACAGTAGAAGTTGTTGAGTATGCAGCAAGAATTGTTCTTTTAAAGTACAAATAGATGTCGCCTCTGGCTGTAGGGTCTGTGTATGTGTGTGTTGGTGTGGGGGTTGGACTACACTCAGCGATTCTCAGGGATCATTCCTGGTGGTTTTGTGGGCTATATGTGGTGCTGGGGTTTAAACCAGGTTGGCTGAATGTAAGGCCAGTGCCCTACGTAACGTACTATTTCTCTCTCCAAGATGTTTTGTTTTTACCCACTAAGCCAATGGCGGGTCATCTGTTCCAGTAGTGGCAGGAAGTGGAGGTGGCAAGCACATGCAAACAGAATCTGAATCGTAATGATGAAATGTAATGATCTCTTGTGACAAGTGGGGACAGAGGCAAGCCACTCAGAACCAGAGTTAGAGCTTGGGGCATTTGTTCCTTGGGCCTATGGTTTTCTCTGCCACTTTGCCACTTGAGCCAGATCCTGTCCCTGTATTCCTTTTTTGGGGGAGGATGTGGGGGAGAGGTGGTCATCTGCCATGGGTCATCAGCCATGTTCAGGGCTTACTCCTGGCTCTGTGTTCAGGGGTCACTCCTGGTGATGTTTGGGGATTTTACTAGTGCCAGGGATCAAAGCTGGGCCAGTGTGTGCAAGGCGAGCTCCTGATCTGCAGCACTGTCTCTCCTTCGCTGTATTCCTCTGTGTCTTCACAGCAGCTCTATGAGGTGGAAGTTGTTACTGTCCCATCTAACCGATCAGGAGACTCAAGCCCTGGGGATGGGCATCCAGGATCACACAGCCCTAAGCGTGCAGAGCTGAGCCAGACCCTGTAACTGGGTAGGGGGACATGAGTGGGCGTGACTCAGATATTGTCCTTGTCCATATGGACCCAGAGTATTTGGTGGGGCAGACAGGCACAAGCCACAAAAAGAGGAGCTCCTGAGGAGATGGGGAGGCTCCTTGGGTGGAGTGGGGGGGGGGGGCTTGGGTGCAGATAACTGGCTGGCGCAAAGGCCCTGGGGGAGGAGCTGACTCTTCATGGGACTGGAAGCCAAGGGGCTAGAGAGCAAGGTGTTGCAGAGGGCCTTGGGGACTGCCTTGGAGCCAGTGCAGCGCCACACACCATGCTGGCCTGTGTCCAGGGCAGCTTAAGAGAGCAGCTGAGGGGTAGGAGGCCAGTTCTGGGTACCAAGGGAGCCTCTACACCCCCTCTGGCTGCAGTACACCTACTGTGTGGAGAGCAAGCTCCCCGCTGTTCGAGTTTGAGGGAGTTACATAACAGCCTGCTATCTCTGAACGAATTGGTGTGTAGCAGAGCTAATAACAACCCAGCCTGCAGCATGGGGTGAGGCGAGGACATGAGTGTTGGGACAGGCGCACCATGCTTCCTGAGATGCTAGCTGCCCTGTGGTAGGTGCCATTCTGTGTTCCCTTCCCTTGCTCAGGAGGGTCCTTTGAACCATCTTTTCCTTCTACGCGGGAGGAAGAGAGGCTCCTGTCTGGCCCCTGGGATTGCTCTGCTGGGCAGGGCTGGGCAGGGCCTGTGTGATGAGCTTGGGTCAGGGGAGGAGGGTGGCCTCTACTTTTCAGGATTGCAGTGACTTGTGATTCGAGGATCCAAACTGGAAGGCAGGAGACTTGCCTGGCTTGGTCCTATGTGCCTTTTACTCCCAGGGTGCACACTGTGCTTGAAACTATCTGATGGGATGGCAGATCTCAGAGCTTACTTCTGGCTCTGTGCTCAGGGTTCACTCCAGGCAGTGGACCATATGTGATAATGGGAATTGAAGCTGGGTGGGATGCATGTAAAGGCACCCATGCTCCAGCCCCAGGCCTTATAGTAGCACTTTCCCTCTGCTGACAAATAATCATTATTATTGTTTTTCCATTTTTATTAAGGTTCTGTAATTTATAATGTTGTTAATGATAGTTTCATGCATATATGATTCCAACACCACACCTCACTACCAGATATTTTTCTTTTAGGGCCTCCCACATGCAAAGCATGCACTTAGTGTGCGGAGCCCACACTCTGGCTCCTGACAAATAGTTTTTGCAGAGGGCCTGAGCATGCTTCCCAACTGACAGCAGTAGGAAACATACCATATGCTGTGCCACTATGATTTCACCCTCATTTCACGTGATTGTTTTGAGAGACACACCCAGAGAGGTGTTCGGGAACTGCTTTGGTGTATTGCTCAGGGGTCATACCCAGCAGTGCTTTGGAGACCCCACAATAAAGGGTGGTTCTCAAGGCTCCTGCCTGTGTTGCACATGCCCCAACATCTGTCACCTTTGACATATGGGGAAACTGAGGCTCTGGGAGATTAGGTGACAAGGCCATAAAGCTAGTATGGCAGACCTGGGATCCAGACCAGGAATCTTGGTATGAAAAAAAAAATCAGACAAGCTCCTCTCAGGGGCTTGGAGTCCTGTGTCCTTAGGGTGGGAGTCACAGTTGTCCCACTGGGCAGCAGGATTATTTGAATAAAGTGATAGCTGTAGTAACTCTGCAGGCACTGCCCAGGAAACACCCTCCTGCCCCCTCCTGCACCCTCATGGCCATGGTGTGATCAGCTTATCTGGCAGAAGCGCCTGGACATTGTTTGGTATTTGGTATTATCTTGGTGACTTATTGGGGAGTTCACATATCTGTTTGGTATTGTCAGGGACAGTGCGTTATACACATTCATCCAATGGATGTTTTCCCAGCTTTTGATACCTGGTAATGCCCCATGCATTGGATTCAGTGGCAACCCTTGGCCCCTGGCCCTCACTGCCACAGATGTTGACATTACTCTCAAACAGGGAAGCCCCGGTGGGATTGTCACTGAGGGCCTGCAGAGAGCACAGACATAAGAGTAGACACTGACTGTGGTCTTCTGTTCCCGCAGCTGGAGAAGGAAGAGCAAATACACAGCCTGGACATTGGCAACGATGGCTCGGCCTTCGTGGAGGTGCTGGTGGGCAGCTCGGCTGGGGGCTCTGGGGAGCAAGACTACGAGGTAAGCTGGGGTTTGATATGGGCTCTCTGCTAATCCTGACCCAGGGTATCCTCCTGGCTGTTCCCCCAGTGCCTCCTGGTCCCAGCCCTGTGGAGTAGGGTCACATGGCCCAGCACCCTCTGGTGGAGCACCATGAATATAGGAGATTAGCTGGGAAGGTGGATTGCACAGACATTTACTCACGGCTGGTTCAGACTCAGTTTCTGCTTGAGAACAGACTGCTCTTCCCTAACCTGGCTCCCTCAGCTCCCTCAGCTGTCCCATTAAATTGCGGTTCATCACTGTCCAGGAAGCTGCTCTCATCCATTAGTTACATTTTGCAGGAATGCCTTTTGCTCTACACTGTTTGTTTTAAAGTGGGCACAATTCTTTTACTGCTTAAATTCATGAGAGCTGCATTGATGAGATCATAGTTAGCCAACCGGTTAATCTACCACATGTGTTAGGGTAAAAAGAAATGTGTAACCAAGAGAGTTCCAGTTTACTGTAAGGTAGGTTCTTGTAGCCAAAGATTTTTCTTTAACTAGGATGCATTTTGAATATGATAAAAATGCACTGGTCTCACTGTACAGGTCAGTATTTTGGATGACATGGGGGGGGGGTCACACCCAATGGTGCTCAGGGGCTACTCCTGGCTCTGTGCCCTGGAATGATCCTGGGGTGCTTAGGGGGAGCCATATGCAGTGCCCTGTGTCTGCTGCGTGCAGTGGCTTAAAACAACCGGTTCTGTATATTACAATTTTGGAGATCAGACTAACATCAGTCTCTAAGTGCTAGAATCAAGGTCTTGGCTTAGCAGCATTCCCACTGAAGGCTCCAGGAGCCGGTCCATCTTTTCATCTGTTCAGCTTTAGATCCACCTGTGTTTCTTGGCTTTGTCCCACCTTCAGAATCACCAGTCACAGGGTTTTGACATCTACTTCCATCTCTACTTACCTGACAGACTCTTTGGCTTTCCTTTTCCAATAAAGACCCTGTGGTTGTTTTGGGTTCCCCTGGATAAATAACCCAGGGTGATCTCCCTACCTCCTTCATGCAAAATTTGCCTTAGTCACAGGTTCCAGGCATTAGAGTGTGGGCACTTGTCAGGAATGGGGAGAATTATTTTGTTTATCATCATCTCTAATATTTTCTTCTAGAGCCTTACATTTTTATTCATTCATTATTGTGCCAGGGATAAAATCCAGGGCCTCATATGAGGCATGTGCTATATCACTGAGCCACATTCCTAGCCCTGTTATTATTTTATTATTATTTTTGTTCTTAATTTTATGGGGGTCATACACGGCCAGCACATGCCTTTGGAGTTGATGCCCGAGGTGCTTGGAGGGCATCTGGACTGCTTCTGGTAATGCTGGGGTCACCATGCTACACCCAGAGGTGCTCAGGGGGCTTTGCAATGCTGGTGATCAAACCTAGGCCCTTGCCACATGCAAGGCATGTACTGCACCACTTGAACTGCACCCCTGGCTCTGATAAGGATTTCTTTATGCCAATAGCACACTGTTGTAATAGTGAATATTAAAATAAGATTATGTTGGGCTTGCAACTTTAGTCTTCAAGATTCTTTTGGCTATTTTAGAATCTTTGCATTTATTTCCATATAACTTATAAAGATATTGTGTCACTAACTTTATTTCAGAGTCACAGGAGAGTTGCTAAAATAGGATTCTTCACTTTTTTCCTCTTCGCTTCTTTTCCCCAAATGTTAACACATATGTACTTATTTTTTCACTGAGCTGAAAATAGATTATATTCATGCTGCCCCTTTATCCCTACAGATTCCGTTATAAAAACAGACATTTTCTCACATAGTCTCAGTACCATCGTCAAACTGAAGAAATTCACTTTGGAACAGTGTCTTTGGATCTCAGACCTCATTTTGATTTCCTTCATTGTCCCTAAATGACCTTTTTTGGGGGTTGTGGGGGTATTTGAGATATACCTGGCAGTGCCCAAGGATCACTCCTGGCAGTGCTTGGGGAACTGTATGTGGTGCCAGGTATTGAACCAGGGTCAGCTGTGTACAAGACAGGTGCCTTAATCCTTGTCTGTCCCGCCCAAGGCCTTTATTGTTTTTCATTTGGGAGACATTCTGATGGGGTTCAGAGACTACACCTGACTGAGTGCTCAGAGGCCCATATGGTGCTGAGGGTCAAACCCAGGGCTCAGTACATGTGTTCAACTCATTGAGTCATGTCCCTAGCCCTGGATTTTCTTTTTTTATTTCTTTTGATTTTGGGGCCATACCCAGCATACTCAAGGCTGACTCCTAACTCTGTGCTCAGGGATCACTCCTGGCAGACTCAGGGAACCATATTGAACCTGGGTTGGCTGCATGCAAGGCAAACACTTACTTACTGTATTATCTCTCTGGCCTCCCTGCATTTTTTTTTTTTGGCTTTTTGGGTCACACCTGGTGATGCTCACGGGTTACTCTTGGTTCTGCACCCAGGAATTACTCCAGGCAGTGCTTGGGGGACCATATGGGATGCCGGGGATTCAACCCAGGTTGGCTGTGTGAGAGGCAAACTCTCTCCCACCATACTATTGTTCCAGCCCTGTGGATGCTTTTTCTTTTAGGTTTTTGGGTCACACCCGGTGATGTTCAGGGGTTACTCCTAGCTCTGTGCTCAGGAATCACTCCTGGTGAGCTTGGGTGACCATGTGGGATGCCGGGGATCAAACCCGGTTGGCTATGTACGAAGCCAACCTCCTATCTGTACTATTGTTCTAGCCCCTGCGTTTTTTTATAGCAGAAAATCCAGTATCCCATTAATCATGTCTCCTTGGCTCCCTCTCCCTGGAACCAGTTCTTTCCATTACCATTTTGCCTTGCGCATGGCCGACTCAGGTGCATTTCCTCCATCCCTTTCAGAGAGCCTGGCAAGCTATCGAGAGTATTCCACCTGCACGGCAGAGTCTGGCAAGCTCCCCATGGCGTATTTGATATGCCAAAAACAGTAATAACAAGTCTCACAATGGAGACGTTACTGGTGCGGACAGTGCTACAGTGCTACCATTTTGTAGGAAGTCAGTGATTGCTTTTTGGTGGAGCTTCTGCTGAGTTAGTTAAGCTTCTGTTCAAACCTAACTCAGACTAATACTTGGGGCTGAAGTGATAGAACAGTGGGAAGGGCACCTGCCTTGCACACGACTGACCTGTGTTCAACCCCTGGCATCCCAAATAGGCCCCTAAGTCAGGAGTGGTCCCTGAGCTCAGAGTCAGGAGTTAGCCCTGGGCACCACTGTGTGTGACCCAAGAACAACAATAACAGCAACAACAAAAAGACTAATACTTGGGAACTTAGGATTTTTGGCTTCATCCAGAGAATAGGTGGGGCCAAAAGAACCAAGAGGCGAAGGACAAAGGGTAAGGCTTGGGTATTTTGTGTCACCATCACCTGCGAATCAAGTGTAAGGCACATAACTGTAATAACTAACTTTGCTGGGTATTTTTTGTTTATTTTTTTGCTTTTTGGATCACATCTGGCAATGCTCAGGGGTTACTCCTGGCTCCGCACTCAGGAATTACTCCTGGCAATGTTTGGGGGAACGTTTGGGATGCTGGGGATCAAACCCTGTGCAAGACAAACACCCTACCCGCTGTACTATTGCTTGGGCCTCCTAACTTTGTTTTCTACAAAGCAGCTTGTCCTTTTAATTCCACATTTTATAAGGAGATACATCTGCAAAAGGGTTATTTCAGTATAGTCAATGTTTTTTTTGTGTTTTGTTTTGGGGCCACATCCAGTGGTACTTGGTAATCCTTCCAGTTTGGTGCCTCCTGCCAAGAGTGCTGTCTATCTCTGTACTGTCACTCCAGCTCCTGAATGTTTAGTTCTTGAACTTTAAAGACAGCATTGGGGGACTGGAGCGATAGCACAGCAGGTAGGTCATTTGCCTTGCACGCAGCTGACCTGGGTTAGATTCACAGCATCTCATATGGTACCCTGAGCACCACCAGGAGTAATTCCTGAGTGCATGAGCCAGAAGTAACCCCTGTACATTGCCAGGTGTGACCCAAAAAGCCACAAAAAAAAAAAAAAGACAGCATTGGGATAATTAAAAGTCTGATATCCATTTTGACTCTCTTTACATTGACTCGGAGGATAGTATATTTAGAGGAAAATATACTTCCTAAACGTGGACAGTTGCCAGCCAGTGGGTGCAGTGTGCTTGGCCTCCTCATTTTAATCACTGGCTAATGCTGATCCAGCTTTTCCTGCTACCTCAAAATCAGGCCTGTTAGAAATGTGGGGGGCTGGAAGGATAGTACAGCAGGTAGGGTACTTTCCTTCTAGGTGCCCGACCCAAATTTGATCCCCAGCACCACATATGGTGCACTCTCCAACCCCCAATATTAAAGCTCCATGTCACTAGGATCAAAACCCATCTGTCCCCAACTGTCTGCTGGCCAGGGCCCTGCCATGAGTGGAACAGTATACCAGTTAACTTAGGGGTAAGAATTAGTAACCACAAGTAGGTGGCTTGTGGGGTGGGAGGTGAAAGAAACTAATGCAGGGAGGAGCTCTTACAGCTCTTACAGCTCTGCTTCTATAGAAGTAGAACTTAAAGTGAAATTGGGACCGGAACCATGAATAGCGGGAGGGCGTTTGCCTTGCACACAGCCCATCTGGGTTTGATCCCCCGCATCCCATATGATCCCCTGAATACTGCCAGGAATAATTCCTGAGCACAGAGCCAGGAGTAATCCCTGAGCATCACTGGGTGTGGCCCCAGAATAAACAAAAAAACTGGAGGAGTGCTGTCAGAGAAGGAGACTCCTCTTCCCTCCTTTGGTCTCCAGCCCTTTCCCCTTTTCTCCAGCGCCCTCTGTTGGCAGTCTTAAGTATCAGTAACTGACGTGTTCCCCTTAACATCTTTGAGCTGGCGTGTCCCCTAGCATGGGCTTGGTCTGAGACACAGACACTGAATATCAGGTGAAACTTTGGACCCCCTTGGACTTGTTCTCGTTTCTGCACTCTGATCCCCTCCCCTGCTCCTGACTAGGGGTCTGAAGATGGTGCAGGCTTTGTGAACACCCTCTGTTGCCAGGGTGCCTTGGGCACATGGCCCATTATAGGGCTGAGTGGGGAGAAGAGATTTTTAAAAGTAATTTTATTTGCTTACAGAGACATATCACATAGTGCAGAGGGTGGGGTGGGTGGTGCCAGGGATTGGACCCAGGACCTAGCACATGCTTCCCTGATCGAGCTGTCTGCCCCAGTGTGGAAAAATTTAGAGAATTGTTCAGATCTGGAGGTATAAGAATCCCTGTGGCTGGGGAGATAGTAGAGTGGGGAGGGCATTTGCTATGCACAGAGTCGACCTGGGTTTGATTCCTGGCTTCCCATATGGTCCCCAAGCACTACCAGGAGTGATTCCTGAGTGCAGGGCCAGGAGTAACCCCTGAACATGCCCCAGTATGACCCAAAAACGAAACAAAACAAAAGCAAAAAGTATCACTGTGGGGCCAGAAGAGGCCCAGAAACAGAACAGTTTAGAAATGTTGAGGCATAGTGCTGTGTGAGTGAGCTTCTCAGCTCCTATCTTCTCCCCTACTCCTGGGAGGTATCATTCATTCATTCATGGCATTTCGAGACAGGCTTGAGTTGGGAGGCATACACAAGCTTCCAGCATCTCATCCTTCCCTGTGCTTTCTTCCAGGTACTTCTGGTCACATCATCTTTCATGTCCCCTTCTGAGAGTCGCAGTGGCTCGAACCTCAACCGAGTTCGCATTTTTGGACCTGATAAGTTGGTGCGGGCTGCAGCTGAGAAGCGGTGGGACCGTGTCAAAATTGTTTGCAGCCAGCCATACAGCAAGGTGTGCAGCTGGGAGTGGGGCCATGCTCCTGGGGAGAGGGGCCTGGGAGGGCTTCGTGGTTGGTCCCTGCAGGAGGCGAGGCTGAGGCAAGAGGTGCTGGAAATGGTTTTGCAGTCTTCCCCATATGACACTTTGTTCTAGTTTATTTCCCAGAGGACATCTGAGGAGGGGGAGGATGAGTTTGTAGAAGGCTTTGTACTGACTGTCATACGGAGACAGACCACTGGGTTCAAAATCACTACGACACCATTTCCAGTCGTGAGGCCTGAAGCCAGTGGCTTCACCTCTTTGGTCTCAGTTTTCTTTATTTTTTTTTTTTTTTGACTTTCTGAGTCATACCAGCAATGCTCAGGGGTTACTCCTGGCTCTGCACTCAGAAATTACTCCTGGTGGTGCTTGGGGGACCATATGGGATGCCAGGGAATTGAACCCCAGTCGGACACGTCCAAGGCAAATACCCTCCCCGCTGTACTACCGCTCCAGCCCTGGTCTCAGTTTAATTTTCTGATCCTGATGGGGTTACTGTGAGTTAGGGTACTGAGTTATGGTGACAGTGAGCCTCCACTATGTCATGATGGCCCCCACTGGGGTATACTTCCCACCCAGGAGTAGTCTTAGGGTTTTCTGCTCACACAGGACCTGTTTCCTTCATTCTTAGGGTTCTGTCGCCATTGGCAGGGAAGAACCAGCTTGGAGCGTGGTGTTCCAGAAGGGGCACCTGGCACCCGCTCTTGCTCCCTAGGCAGGATCTTGGGTGTGTGGCAGTGGATTCATTTGGACACCCCAGCAGCCTCTGCCAACTGCTTAGGCCGCTGCTTAGTGGAACTGGTTCAGCGAAGGACTTGGAGTCTGGTCTCACAAGGTGGGAGGCTCAGGGTCAGTTTGATGAGACTGTCATCGGCACCTCTCTCTGGGTGTATGTCCCAGGAGAGAGAACCAGGAAGGGGTTTCCCTCCATGAGGGGCTGGGGACCAGCTGTCAGTCCTTGACTGGACTCCCTGACTCCCTGCTCTCCCTTCCCAGGACTCCCCCTATGGCCTAAGTTTTGTGCGCTTTCACAGCCCCCCAGACAAAGATGAGCCAGAGGCCTCCCCCCAGGTAAGCACCACCCACCCTCCTGCAGAGCCTTCTTCCTGCCTCCTCTCCCCCACCTGCCTACAGCCCTCTCCCTGCTCACCTTGCTGGACCTTAGAAGGTGACCAAGCTCGGCCAGTTCCGTGTGAAGGAAGAGGATGAGGGCGCCAACTCCCTGCGGCCCGGGGCACTCTTCTTCAGCCGCATCAACAAGACAGCCCCAGGTGTGTGTGACCGCAGCCCCAGTGAGCATCAAAACCCTGGCCACCTGGGGCAGAGGGAGGAGGAGCTGGAACTGCAATCTGTCCCATGAACCTAGCTGAAGGCCTGCGGGCCCCACCCTCCTACCCTAAGCCTCTGTTCCCCTCTGTAGCTGCAGCCAAGGACCCCGCAGGCCCCAGCTACGCGACTGCCACACTCCAGGCCTCAAGTTCCTCCTCCTCAGCCTCTCTGGCCTCCACAGCAGTTGGCAGCACCTCCAAGGTGAGATCGGGGCTGCAGGTGGGGTGGAGAAGAGGGAGAAAAGCCTGAAAAACCTTAGCTCATCCTTCCTCTCCAGCCGCAGGAGTCTCCTAAAGGAAAGAGGAAACTGGATTTGAACCAGGAAGAAAAGAAGCCCACCAGCAAGCCATCAGCTGCACCCCCTACACCCTCCGCATCTGCACCCAAGAAACCCAAATGTGAGCCCACCAGCTCCCTTGTTCCCAGAACTCTGGTCCTGGGGCAGGAGGGGCGGGGCCTGGCATAGCCCCACAGCACTGACTCGGTCTACTCTTTGGCTTCCTCAGTGTTTCCTTCCCCCCGTACCTCAGCCACCACCCCAGTCTCTGCCCCAGCAAGGGGGACTGTGCCAGTGAAGCCTCGAGGAGAAGGCAGTGAGCCCAAGGCACCCCGAGGGGGCCCACAGGAGCTGGGGAAGATCCTCCAGGGGGTTGTGGTAGTGCTGAGTGGCTTCCAGAACCCCTTCCGCTCAGAGCTCCGTGACAAGGCCTTGGAACTGGGGGCTAAGTACCGGCCGGACTGGACTCCAGACAGCACCCACCTCATGTAGGCCTTTGCTATTCTCCCGGCTCCCTGCTCTTTTCCAGCGCCCTTCAACACTGACCCCTGCATTGCACAGTCCCCTACCCCTCCTGCCTGGCTCTCTCCTGCCTTCTCTAGTCCATTTCTTTCTCTGGTTGTCTCATTCCTGCCTCTATCACCTGTTTCTCTCTGCTTCTCCATAGGCATCCCTTCCTCTTCCTCATCCTCATCCATTTCTCTTCTCCTCACTCTTTCTTTTTACCAGTGAAACCACACTTGACTGATAGCCTCCCTTTTGTACCCTGCAGCTGTGCCTTTGCCAACACCCCCAAGTACAGCCAGGTCCTGGGCCTTGGAGGCCGCATTGTGCGCAAAGAATGGGTGCTGGACTGTCACCGCATGCGGCGGCGGCTCCCTTCCCAGAGGTGAGATCCCCACTGTGCATGTGTGCTCCACACATCACACAAGAAGACACTCACTCACCGGGACACAGACACACAGTTCTCATGTACACATACTGGCACAGAGACATACAGACACACACACATCCCCCCTCCCTCCTCAGAGTGGCGGCATCAGGGATCTGAGGGAACTCAGGCTGGGTCTGCACAGTGGGGAGCTAGGGAGGAGAGTGAGGTAGGGGAGGGGGCTGGGGGGCTTTGTATGGTCTGTTCAGCTGAGAAGGAGGCAGATATCATGGGCTGGAGAATTGAATGGACATTGGAGTATCTGGCCTGTTTCCTTTCTCTCAAAGCATGGGCCCAGCGTGTTCAGGCTGGGCTGCACCCCATCAACCAGTCAGACATCTTGTCCTTGTGGCTCTAAAGGAGGATTGACTCTTTAGAGAAGAGAGAGGGGGAGGACCCACAGGGAGGATTCCAGGAGGAGAGGGTTTGTCAGGCGGAGCAGAGACCAGGCACACTGTGCCAGGAACCTCAGTAGGGCTCAGCCTGGAGGGGAGGCCCACGTCTGGACAGGAATGGGGTACAGGGTACAGGAAGCAGCAGGAAGGTGAGGCCGGGGGACAGTAGGAGCTCAGCCTTGGGATGGGGAAGAGCAGGGTCAGATCTGAACCTGGGGATTATTAGGAAAAGTGATGGGCTGTGTGGTTGCATGGTGGGGGGCGGGTGAGCTCAGAAAGAGCTTCCGGTACCCAGCTGTTTGTGTGTCTGTGTGTCTGTGTGTGGTGCTGGGGATCAAATTAGGGCCTCATGCATGCAAGGCAAGTACTCTCCCTGTGAGGTGCCTCCCTGACACCAGCTCATCATCCTGTGCTGGTGTCAGGCCATTTCTGGTCTTTCCAGAAATCCACTGACACACTATAAAGCCTCTAAATTTCCAGTGAGCATGTGTGGTCCCATGAGGGACTCACTTTCCGCAGCTCAGACACAAGCACAGGTGGGGCTCCCAGGGTAAACTGGGAAAGGCGGGCCCACTCCTTTACTTCTCCTGCTGACTCTACCCTGCCATATGGGCTCCATCAGTTCATTGCTGTATGCCTCAGTCTCCTCGTCTGTCAAATGGGGCTACACACAGGTTCCAGTGACCCTGGGCTTGGGATAGGTGGCACGTGGGAATTCCCCCTGAAGGCCCCCTATCATTGGAACCAGGATTCTTGCCTGCGGTGGCCACTATTTAAGGAGAATGATAGAGTTTAATGAGAAAGGTACTTACCTGAGGGCATCCTTCCAGCTCGCCTCTCATGGAGCCATTCTTCTCCTGAGGGTGGTTTTTCCGTTCTGAAATACTGGACATTTGTCCCTGAGGGGGGGTGGGAGCCAGGGAGCAGTGCTTATTTCTGGTGTGTGAGGCTGGGGCTGTGGTTCTCTGGCCAAGAGGAGGAACAGCCTTGGGGGGAGGCCCTGGCCTTGACTCTGAGTTGTTACTTAGTAAATGCCAGTGGCTGCTACTTCTCCCGCCTGCCTGCCCTGAGGAGGACATGGTGTGCCTGATTCTGTCTCTAGGTACCTCATGGCCGGCCCGGGTTCAAGCAGCGAGGATGAAGGGGATTCTCACAGTGGGGATGAAGCCCCCAAGCCGCCCCGGAAGGTAGGGTACCCCCTGCCCGGGTAGAAGTGGGTTGTGAGAGGAGAGCATGAGGCGGGGTGGTACCCCAAATGCTACTCCAGCCTCTTGTAGCCCCCACCCTGCCCCGTTTCTTCTGCACTGAACCTCTCTCTCCTCCCAGCGCACGCAGACCAAAACCAAGCCCCCTCAGGCAGCAAGACCCCCAACTCCAGAGGAGACCAAACCGGCCACCCCAGCACCCCAGGATGATCCTGACTCCGAGGGGGAGCAGTCAGGTCTGCTTGAGGGAGGCAGGTGTGGGGAGGGGGGAGGGCTGGGCTGTGGAATAAAGCGGCTGGGGACATTGAAAAGGAAAGCTGGGAATGGGGAGAGCTGGTCTGAGTTCGTGCTCAGGCGAGAGGCTGGGAGGAATGTTCCCGGTCTTTCTAGAAGATAGTGAGGGTCCTCTCATTGACGATGGTCCCACTTGCAGGAGAGCAGGACAATGGGGCGGAAGATTCCGGGGACACTGAGGACGAGCTGAGAAGGTAGGGGTGGGGCAGAGGGTGTGCGGGGCGGTGCATGTGGTCTGCTGCTTCTCCTCACACCTCTTGGCCCCTCAGGGTGGCTGAGAAGAGGGAGCAGAGGCAGCTGCCTGACCAGGGGGAGAACGGCGAGGACCCGTATGCAGGCTCCACGGATGAGAACACGGACAGCGAGGCTCCACCTGAGTCCCCCAGCCTGCCGGTTCCTGAGCTCCCCAGTAGGGACCCCCCTGAATCTTTCTTACTTCTCACCTGAGATTTCCCCCAGGATCCCTCAGCTCCCCCAGGACTGTCTCCTGTTGTCTGTTTCCCCACCCGGTCTGTTCTCCCTCTTATTCTCTCAGGCCTGTTCTTTATTCTTTGGCGACCCTTTGGTGGCTTCTTCACTTGCTGCTTAGACCGCATCTGTCACAGCTGCGCCAGGAGTGACCTCTTCTGCTTGTTTTCTTGTTTTTTGGGGGGCCATACCTGACAAAGTGTTCATGGCTTCCTACTGGCTCTGTGCTCAGGCATCACTCCTGGCAGGCTTGGAGACTATATGGGGTGCCGGGGATTGAACCTGGGTTGTCCATAGGTGAGCGCCCTCCCTGCTGTGCTATCATCCAGCCCCAGGAGTGACCTCAGGCTTCATGTAGGGTGGGCACCTGCCTCTCTCACCTGCACTGTACCAGCTTGGGCTTTCCGCACCACTTGGAACTTTTAATCTGTAGCTGTCAGCCCCGGCCCAGGTTTAGCTCCATCAGGAAAGGGCGGGACCAAGCTCTGCAGATGGCATGGGCATAGGGCCCCCATGTCCTTGGAGGTGGTGTGGCCTTGTTTGTGGGACCACAGCCAGTGAGACCTGTGGGATTAGGGTCAGGGTAGAGTCTGGACAAGGAAACAGCCAGGTGTTCAGAGGGCTCCACTAGCTTTGTGGCCCGTGAGCAAGGTAGCACTTTGAGCCCCAAAAGACCCCAAAGGTGGCACCTGCAGATGGACAGCAAGGACAGTTCTGAGAATGTGACAGAGGGGCCCAGCCTGGGGGGTAAGCCGCAGCAACACAGAGTGGGGCAGAGTCAGCTGAGCTGAGGGGCGAGGGCGGTCAGGCTCTAGTTTCCTGCCTACTCCACACTGTCTGTGTGGACCCGTTTCACCTCTCAGTGCTCGGGGATCCTCAGTGCCAGGAATCGAACCCGGATGAGTCATTTGCAAGCCAAACCTTGACCCATATACTCTGTCTGGCTCAGTAACTGGGTCTCTAAAACTACCACCCCAGGGGCCAAAGTACATGGCTTAGGGCACTTGCCTTGCATGAAGTTGACCTGGTTCAATTCCCAGTACTACATATGGTTCCCTGAGCAACACTAAGGGGTGACCCCTGAGCACAGAGCCAGGAGTAAGCCCTAAGCAGTGTTAAGTGACCCTCGTACACACACCCCTCCCCCCCGCAAAAGACCCAATTACTATACAGCAGGCATGTTTCTTACATGAGGTCAGTCACAGATGCTTGGAGTACCCCTGAGTACCAGGGTGTGGCCTCAAAACCCCAAAATAGCAAGTAAAAAAATTAAAAATAAAACCATCACCCTAATCAGCTTTCTGGAAGGTTCTGATGGGCCCCTCGGTTAGGAACCTCTACCTGGAAGTTGTATTTACCCCTCTCCAGTCACTGCACCCTCCTTCCTATCTTGCCTCCTGGGGCTCCTGGCTGGAGCTGGGGATCGGGACCTCACCTGGGCTCTTCCATGTCCCCCACAGATTTCTTCCAGGGCAAGTACTTCTTCCTGTATGGAGAGTTCCCAGGTGATGAGCGGAGGATGCTCCGGCGATATGTCACCGCCTTCAATGGGTCAGTGTCCTAGGGGTGCTACTGCGGGCTATGGGAAGGATGGAGTGGGGGCCTCCGGTGCTGCTGGCTCAGCAAGGACAAGTTGGTTCCCCTCGGCTTCCTCTTTGCCCATGAGGTGCCCCAGCCCTTCGGAAAGAGGGAGCCTTTGTTATTGTGGCTGCGGCCAGACTGCCTCACAAGAGAATGGGGGAGCCACCAGCAGCATCCTGATGTACCTTCCACCTTTTCTCTCTGCCAGGGAGCTTGAAGACTACATGAGTGAGCGTGTTCAGTTTGTGATCACGGCCCAGGAGTGGGACCCCAGCTTTGAAGAGGTGAGTCTTGGCAGAGAGAGTCCCACCCGCCTTTTCATCCCTCCTCTCCCTGCTCACCTGTCCTCATGGGCACCCCTCCCCGCAGGCCCTGATGGACAACCCCTCCCTGGTGTTCGTGAGGCCCCGCTGGATCTATAGCTGCAACGAGAAACAGAAGCTGCTTCCCCACCAGCTCTACGGGGTGGTGCCCCAGGCCTGATGTCTGCACCCCAGGTGGCTGCCTTAATAAAGGTGACTTGGTTTGGAGTCCCTGGCCCTTCTCTCAATGCCCCCCAGAACCTCAGGGAGCCCCCAACTTTCTGTCTTCCTTTGGAATTTGCTTCCTGTCAAGGGCCAGCCTCGAGAGGCCTTAAGGCTCCCTCAAGGAAACCTGGAGAGGAGGGACTCTGTTCCTGAGCTCTGGGCAGGAAAGATCCTCACCCCCTGGGTGGCAGGAAACAGGACATTTTGACTCTCACTCAGCTGCTGTCACCCATAAAGCCCTTTGTTGTGTGCCAGGAACCCGGATGCTTGGGCAGCCTCCTCTCCTCTCCTCGCCTCTCTCCTTTCCCAGGACTCGCTTCCTGGGGCCAAGAACCTGCCACCACTGCCCCAGCAGCCATTGCTTTTCTCGGTGCAGCACAGCTCCCTACCCTGATCTGGGAGGTATTTGAGGGAAGTGCTCCTTGTTTGATTTTTCTCCTTCCTTTTGGGTGGTTGTTGCTTGGTTGTGGTGCCTGGACATGTGCTCAATGGAGTTCCCAAACTGCCGTGGGGCTTGGCAGAGTCACACACTTGGTTATGGCGCTCCAGAGAGGACTCGCGACGGGTCACAAATACTCCTCATGACATGAGAACAAGTTCATGATCGCATACTGGCAAGGCAGGTGCTGTACCACTGAGCTGTCTGAGGGTCCTCAGAAGGCATTTTCATCAACCCACCCAAATCTTGAACATCTTTTGGGGCTCCAGCAGGTTTAAGGAGGAAATAAGCTGGTGGTGTTTGAGCACCTTAGTCTTTTTCCTACCATGGCCCCCCAGCCTTGTGCTTCACCCCTATTGACACGATTTTCACCTGGGGACACACGGGGGGGGGGGTCATCTCTCCAGCACTGATAGAAGATCTGAATGGGTCGAGGCTCAGCATTCTCTTGTCTCTTCCCACACCTGTGTAGTGGTCACTCGCTTGCCGCATCCCTCGATCACTCTCCTGCTGGAGCCTGGCTGCTCCAGCGATTACGCACATGCCGGCTGCCTTAAAGCAACTGCAGTTTCTTCTTTCAGGCTATGTCCAGCTGACAAACCAAAGAGGAGGCAGGCTGTGTTCCTTCCAAAAGCTCGAGAAGAGACTCCACTTTTTTTTTTGTTATTTTTGTTTTTTGTGCCATATCCAGCTGTGCTCAGGGCTTATTCCTGGCTTTGTGCTTCAGGGATCACTCCTGATGGGTTGGGGGATCCTAGGGGCTGCCAGGGTTCAAATCTGCATCAGCTGTGTGCAAGGCAAAGGTCCTGCCTACTGCACTGTCACTCTGGCCCCAACTCAGCTTTTTGTTCTTGTCACAATTCCTCATTCCAGTCTCCCTTCCCAAATCACAGTCCATGGCATCCTTTCCATCTTTCATTCTGGGTTTTAGGCTACACCCTGCAGTGCTCGGAGAGTGGACACAGGTTGTAAAAGGCCTGTAATCAGTGGGGATGTGGTAAGGCAGGCATTGGGCTGCCGGTTTGCAGGGAAATGAAAAAATCTGGGCACAGTCAGGTGGACATCTGCACGGTACATGTTGGTGAGCTATCAGCTTGCGGAGGGGGGCGGTGGGTGGCAGAACTCGACTTTGGCCACGAGTAGGGACAGGCCTGCCAGTGGTGTTCTGGAGGTGGGCAACCAGCCTGCAGTACTGGTTATAAAGGCTTTTGGGCACTGTGGGCAGGTGCCACTATATATGAGTTGGGGTAAGAGAAGGCTGCGGGCAGGCAGGCAATGGATGGCAGGAGTGCCCTCCAGCGTGGAGGGGTCCAACAGGCCTTCTCATGGTGGGGCCACCTGGTATGTCAGACTCTGGAGCTGACTGGCTGGGCCTCTTTTATGGGGTCTGGTGGGGAGCTAGGGATCAGGAGGGCTGGTGGGTTCCAGGAAACACCTCTTGAAATTCAAGTATACTGAGATACCTTAAGTGTCAAACTGAGATTATCCACATGGCAAGCCCTCCCCATCCCACCCCAAGGGCTATGTTTCTGGAAGGACAAAGCTAGAGCTTCCCTAGAGATATTTACGTGTCTGTAATGTTTCTGTTTCCAGTGCCTATACAGCCGCAGGTAAACATCGAAAATCTGACATCTGTCCTGGCCCTCCTTTAATATTCTGAACTCCATACGTGATCACTGAGGGCCCTCCCAAAGCCAATTAAGATTACCCAAAACACCCATTTTGGGGGAAGCCCCAACTGGTTATCACCCTAGGCCTCGAAACTTTCATCCTGAGATTTCCCCCCAGAATGGTAGGGCCGCGGACACCCCACCTGGCACCAGCATCTCCCAGGTGCTAGAGCCCAAAGAGTCATGACCTGGGAGCAGCAAGGCTGGGGGATCATGGATCACCAGGATAGCAGCCAAATCCGGGGAGCGCGGTCAGGGGCAGGGTCAGTTAGTCTGGGTATTGCTGGAAGGCGGGGCCTGTGCGCTGTGCGGCTCCGGCTGTGTCCAGTCCTCACTGGGTTTGCTGGCCCTGAGCACCTTAGAGCTTGCAGCCCGAGCGACCTGGGTCCAAAGGGGAAGGAACCACCCTCCGTCTAGAACCGCCCGGGTGGAACCTAAGACGGGGTTCAAAACAAGGGGAGGGGTGGATCAAAACAAGAAGGGGGCCAAAGGCAAGTGCCTGGATACAGAATCTTCCCCGGGGGCCCGGACCTATGGCCCGCTGCGGTGCCCCCGGGGGCGGGGTTCCTTCTAGCCGCCTGGAAGTGCTGCAGAGTTGGTGTGGGAGCCGCTCGACCCAGCTCACTTTCCTTCCACGCGGGTCCTGTGCTGGCTTCAATATGAACGTGCAACTGGCCGGCAGGGGCTGCCGAAGTGGCGACGCACTGGAAAACTGTCTGTGCTCAAGGCAGGGGAGCCGAAGAGCTGGAGGAGAGTGCGGCGCTTCGCTGGGGGAAGCGGCCGGCACTCACCCCACCACCCCACCAGGCACCCGGCACTCACCCCACCACCCCACCAGGCACGAGCAGCAGCGAACGCGATGAAACTGAGCACCTCTGAGCCCGCGGCCTACGCGGGTTCTCCTGTCCACAACCCCTTTCTTCGAGAGTTCCACTGGGGACCCACGTGCTGCTTCACAGGCAGATTCTCGAGCTCACAGTAACTTCCACCCTTCTAGGAAACTCAACTCACGGAAAGTCGGACGGTTCCTTCGAGAGGCGGGGCGGGGGTCTGTGCTCGAGCCCAGTAAGAGGCACGTGATTTGCATGGCGCCCCGGGGTTCCTCTGCCATCGGCCGATTAGAGATTCTCAGCCTCCCCACCCTTCAGCCTCCCCTCTGCGTGCTGTGGTCCAGGGTGGGAGGGCAGAGGAGCCAGATGCTGAGGAGGTTTTTCTCCCCAGAGGCAGCCCCTGGTGCGTAGCAACCTTCCCCTGCCAGTGACGGTGCCCTTTCCCATCCCGCAGAAGAATGGGCATGAAGTGCCCATAAACCTCACCCGCATGGGTGGGTCTTCCAACATGAAATGCCCCAAGATCTCATCAGTTCTGGGAGCAGCGGGCGTTGTAAGGGCGGATATTTTTGGGACTTGATTGCCTGGGTAAACAAACTTGGAATCTTGGTGCTGCCACTCTCAGCTGGGTTACCTTGGGCGAGTTAACTTATGAGTCCGTGTTGGACTCATCCGTTAAACAGAGGGTTGTTCGGATAAGTCAGAACCACTGGGAAGTATTTAGAACAGGACCTCGCGTGTTCACAAGTATCATCAATATAGAGAGCTCAACCAGAGGAGCTCATGCAAGCCTGCAAAGCCTGGGTTCAAACCTCACAACAAGGTACCCCAAGCATTGCCAGTAACAGTCAAGGGAGACCCAGAAAAACAAAACATTATTGTTTTTAGGTTTTTGGGCCACACCTGGTTGTGCTCCGTGTTTGCTCCTGGGTCAGCCCTCAAGGGTCACTCCTGATGGTTCTTAGGGAAACATATGATGCGGTTCTGGGTTTGAGCTTGAGTTGGAAGCATGCACAGTGCCTTATCCACTGTACTCAATTTTGGGCCCACGGGTTAAAAAAAAAAAAAGTATGGTTTTTGGGCCACACCTGGCAGTGCACTCCTGTCTCTACACTCGGGGATCACTCTTGGCAGTCTTGGAGGATCATGTGGGGGCCAGGGATCTAACCTGGGTCAGCCACATTGAAGGCAAAAACCCTACTACTGTACTCTTTGGCCTCCCAGGGGTAACAACTTTAAAGAATTTTATTATTGTGTTTGAACCGTGGCACGCATTCTAGCCCTTTGAGCCATCTCTCCAGCAACACCCTCCCCCTTTAGTTATCTTACTGTTTGTTTCTTTTGTTTTGGGGCAACACCTGGTGGTGGCCAGGGATTACTCCTGGCTATGTGGTCAGGGATCACTCCTGGCAGGGATTGGGGGATCATATGTGGTGGCAGGGATTGAATCCAGGTTACTGTGTGCAAGGCATGTACCATACCCATTGTACTCTCTCTTCAGCCCTACCTTTGAGCTATTTTGAGGAAAATTCCAGATATTTCATTCTTAAATGCTTCAGATTGTGTCTACAAGACTTATATTTTTCCCATTGGGTTTTGGGCCAAAGCTGCTCAGGACTGACTGCTGGCTCTGTTCTCAATGGTTACTCCTGGTGGGGCCCTGGGAATCATATCTGACCTGCTGTATTATCACTCAGGCCTCAAGAAACTCTCTCTTAAACAACACTATCATCACTGAAGCTTTCAGAAGGTACAGTTCTTTTTTTTTTTTTTTATTGAATCACCATGAGATACACAGTTACAAAGTTGTTCATGATTGGGTTTCAGTCATACAATGTTCCAACACCAGAACACCTTCCCTTCACCACCACTAATATCCAGTTTTCCTCCCCACCCCCCTCGCCTGCCTCTATGGCAAGGACTACTCTCTCTCTCTCTCTCTCTCTCTCTCTCTCTCTCTCTCTCTCTCTCTCTCTCTCTTTCTCTCTCTCCCCTCCCCTCCTCCACCCACCCCCACCTCTTGGGCGTTATGGTTTGCAATACAGGTACTGACAGGTTATCATG